ATATATATATATGCAATGAATAGAATTACCGTAGTGCTGGCAGGTCATATATGTGTTGATAAAATGTGTGAGCATTGTGTTACAGAAAGAAAAGGCTCTTTTCTAGGTTTATTTGTAGTTTTACCTGTGTTTACATGTCAGCCTTTTTAGAAAAATACATTTTAAGGATTAGGATTTTAATGCAACTTTTCAGACAATAATCCTAACATGTGCATATACAATGGCATACTAACAGTGCACTTTCTGGTTAAGATTTATACAAACATTGTATCAGTCAAAGGTCCAAGCAGACCATATAGCAATTATTTAGTCATCCATTTTAGTTAGATGCTTCTTCCTTTTCGGGTCATGGGGATTTGGTATTTATCCCTAACTGTGCAAGAGTGGGTGGCTGTAGTGCAGTGGTAGTGGTGGTGCATGCATTGATGGCAAAATACATTTACAAGAGGCGGGGGACACCCTCAGCAAGCCGTAAGTCCATTTACAGTTCAGCACCAAATTTATTTACTGTTAAAACTTTATTTTTAGTGTTTTTTTAATTCTATGTGAACCAAATCAAGGTTCACTGAAGTCTGCATGCTTGATGTGTCGGTCGTGTTACAAGTTACGACATTTACACGTGTAGTTACTTGGCAGCCCTGAGGGGATTTATGCCGTGTGTCAGAGCTCTTCATGTGCCACTTCAGAAACAACAAGCTGCTGTTTTGTTGGCTCGGAGCCACAGCCCAACAACGGCTGATGGGTAACAGTGGTAGTTAGTCTGAGGCATGACAGTGACTGAAGGTTACTATGTGACGTATCTCACTGAAGGTCTTTGCTTTGAGTCTATGGATGCTTACATTATAGAGAAATGTAGTCAAATGTTTAGCATTTTATAAAAGAAGTTGTCTTTTCTCTGTGTTAGAGGGTAGCATGAAAATATCTGTTTAGGTTTGAAACAGCACTTTCCTTTCCAAGCTCAAACTATTTTTGTCATTCCTTTTTCCTCATTTACAGAACACTGAAATATGGATGTCCTAAACTTTTTTTTTTTTGCTTTGATTTTTTGTTTTATCATTTTTAAATGTCAGTACAGACATAAAATAATTCACATAGCTTGAAAGGAAATGTGTTAATATTGCTCAAGTCATCCTTTTTTCAGTTAAAATCTAACCACACCACCTACAGCTGGATGCAAAGAAGACATTTAGAGCAGGGTTTTGGAACTGTAAATGTGTTTGACTTGTATTAAAAATGATGTGCATTCATTCAAATGTTAGTGATGCTCTTGAGGATCTAATTTTGTTTCTTCAGTTTTGTAAAAAAGTATCCTAAACTGTCCAACCTTCTCACATTTATCTCATCACCAAGTTTAACTGCTGCATCAGATATTTTGTAGCTTTAATTAGATCTCTCATGTTCAGATGCCTGCAGAGGATCCCCCCCCCACCCCCCACCAGTTTTGTTAACCTGATCAATGTCGTAGTGTTGTGACACAAGCTAGAGGAGCTTCCTCTACAAACCCACCTCCTCTATGAATCTGTCTGGCTGCTCTCTTATCTGTCTTTGACGTTCTTAAAAAGCTGGGAAGCTGAGTCATGTTGTGGCTGCAGGTGCGTTTTCAGTCGTTTCCCTTTCTTTCCTCCATTTTTACCCCCCTCCCCATCTCCTCGTCTTCGTCGTTGCTTTCTGTCATCGTCGTCATAGCAACAGTCCCCCCGGTGCTCCTTCCTCTGCCTCGCTTCGGTCCCTGTGCTATTAGTTATCAGCTGCCCAGTCTGGCATCAAGTGCATTAACTGGAGTCATCTAGGCCTGACCTTGTTGTAGACTGGGACAACTTCAGACAAGGTTTTGCCATCATTTGGAAGATTACAGTGAGTTATTTAAAAAGTGGCCATACAACCCTGAACACGTCAGAGCTCATCTGATCTTGGAAGCTAAGCAGGGTTGGGCCTGGTCAGCACCTGGATGGGAGATCCATGGTATAACTGTGGCCTTTGGATGACTTATGTTTGTTGCAAAGGCGCTAACAATGGAGCCAATTATTCTTTTAATACTTAAGCAGTTGAAATCTCTGTAAAGCTTAAAGTAAACATAAAGGACTTAACTTTGAGTTATTGTCCACCGCAACTTTCATTAGCTTCCAATAACATTACCGTCATGACCAGGAATTGCTAGCAAATGCAGCCATTTGGTTGGTCAGTTGAGGGAGGACCCTGTTCCATGGGTCTCAATGACTGGTCGGTTCGGGCTCAACATATGGACTTTGGGGAGAAGTTGCCTGGGAACTACCAACTTAGGTGTTGTGCCCACATTAAAACAACTAGCAAGAGAAACACTTTGACCATATTAGAGCTGTGTCCAAACTCAGAGGCTGGTCCTCTGAAGGCTGAATACGTCAGCTTACGTCACAGCTGTCAAAATTTGAAGACTCCTCTGATGCGGCCGACACATTCGTCCTCCTTTTTGAAGGACAGTTCCGATGGATCCTTCTCGGCCCGCCATATCCCCATAATGCCTTGCAAGCCGAGATTTTTTTCTGCTTGTAATGGCGGACGAAACGAGAGATCAGTTTTAATAAAAATCTGAACGTATGAAAATTAAAAGATTCAAGTGATTGTGTTGTTAATGATTTTTATTTGTCACATTTCTAATATTGTTCTTGTCAGAAATCAAACAAGTGAATTTTTTTTCCGGTCTTCGCGGCCTACCAAGGATGTTCCTTCCCCCCCCCTCCCCCTCCCCCCCAATTTTTTTTAATTTACTAAAGATTCGAGTGGAAATAAAGCAAAAACAATGAATAATAATTCATCAAGCTTTAGGTTTCATGTCAATTTTGCTTGATGCAGGACAGGTAATAAAAAGTGGATTGACTGAACTCTGTAAAATCAGGTGGCTTCTGCTCTGATTTCAGAGTGAAAATGAGATGTAATTTAGAGAAAAAAAAAACTCACTCTGAAGAACAAGCATTGATGCCCTGAAATTGATTCTGAACTTGTTACAATCAAAGAGAGAAAAAGTCCCAGTCTGAGTCCACATAGACGCTAATGTTTGTGTTTTTGTTTTTCAGCTCATGTAGAGAACGAGGAGCAGTACACTCAGGCCCTGGAGAAGTTTGGTGAAAACTGTGTGTATAGAGATGATCCTGATTTGGGTTCAGCCTTTCTCAAGTTCTCCGTCTTCACCAAGGAGCTCACAGCGCTTTTTAAAAACCTTGTGAGTCTTTACTCTCTCTCTCTCTCTCTCTATCTCTATCTCTATCTCTATCTCTATCTCTCTCTCTCTCTCTCTCTCTCTATCTGTCTGTCTGTCTGTCTGTCTGTCTGTCTGTCTGTCTGTCTGTCTGTGTGTGTGTGTGTGTACTTGTTTTGCATACAGAGTGAGGACCATGTTAGGTTTTTAATCAACAAAGTGAGGTCAGCTCTACTGCACTTTACTAGTTGGGCTAATTTCAGGTGGGGGGGGGGGGGGTTTAGGACCAAGGTTTCAATTGAGTTTAGTTTAGTTTCAGGGTCAGGAAGGTACCTGTGAGGTTAATTTAAGGTACATAATCAGGGTTAGGCTATAAAATTAACAAAAATGAATGGATGTCAATCCTCTGTTCCCCACAGCGATATAAAAACTAACGGGGGGGGGGGGTGTCTGTGTAAATGTGTGAGCTGGATCTAGCTGGGAGAAATCCTCAGGGGTATAGCTAGACCTCAGTGCTTTCACTATTCTTTTTCTCCTCCCCCTGACTCACTCTGTGTTCCATGACACTCACAAGTCTGAGCACATACTGAGTCCAGCTGCAGCTCTGAGCCCCGAGGACCTAATTCTGGTTTTCCCACTAATGTGGCCAAAGAGCCAGATCAAGACCAAATATCTTGATTAGTCAGAGTCAGCATGAACCTGCTCTGATAGAACCAAGTGTTACGGTTAATGAGCTCACACRGAGAACTGGAACAGGATTTTTGAAATGGTCTCAACTTATATCAAAGAAATATAAGTTTCTGATGAATCCAGGGGTGTTTTGCTAGTTTACCTGCTGCAACACACCTGATTCAGTGACTGAATTAACTTTTCAAGTTCTGCAGAAGCCTAGTAATTACRTATTCATTCAAATCAGYTGTGTTGGGGCAGAGAAACCTTCATTTTAATTAAGAAATGAAACCAAATCTTCTCAATAAATGCCAATGAATGCCAAAAATGTATTGCATCTCTTTAAAATAGGAGTCAGTGTCAATTGATTCATACACTTTTAGAAGGTCTGATTTTTTATTTTTTAAGGCAWATCTTAATTTCTTCACATGACTTCAGATTATGGAGCCATAGGGTTACTCAGAGTCTAGGGTTAGTGGGTAATCCATGGTAATAGGGATTCACCTTGTGCCCTTAAATCTTCTAAWGTGACCTTTTGCCTCTTGTCCCTCTTCTCCCTCCTGCAGTTCCAAAACATGAACAACATCATCACCTTRCCTCTGGACAGCCTGCTGAAAGGAGACCTGAAGGGGGTCAAAGGGGTAAGGACACCGGCGATCATCTTCCACTGTTTTTGCATTAAACAGGAGAGAACATATTCAACCCATAATGCCCGCTGAATATCTGATTCATGGAGAAAATGAGGGCGGGAACAGAGAGAAAGCCAAAGAGACACAACTGGACTTCCCTGATAGCTGACTGAAACTTTGGCCCGAAATAACAGGCAGATGGAAAAACCTTTAACTTAATCTTCTGCACTTTCACCTGGTGTATAAACTGTCTCCAGGCAGATCTTGTTACCTGTGTTTTCTTAAGTTTATCTTGGCCTGAGTTGACCTTAAACGCTGAGCCGCAGAAGCACAATGGATTTACAGCAGAAGAGAAAATGAGGAGCTTTTAGTAAAATATATTGAGTACAGTTTGGGTTCTTTGTGCCTGCATTATACAGTTTATAGGTCTATTAGCCTCTAGCTTTAATTCAGTTTAAAATTTGTCTATCGTGTATACACACACACACACACACACACACACACACACACACACACACACACACACACACACAGAAGACCCAAACAAACACTCGTCACCAGTGCCAGTACAAAAACAAAAAAACAGAGCCGTCGTTAGTGTCTGAGACAGTTTGTGACCTTTCACTCTAAAGCCACATGATTGGCCGTAAAGTTTGATGCGATTAAAGTAAGTTGTCTAATGAGACTGGTTGCCATGGATGRGTCGGTTGTCCTCATGACCCCCGGCCACTTGGCTGCGTTTTCACCCAATCAGCCGTTGTCCTCTTTGTTGCTCTCTCTCACAGTTTTCTGTTTTCTTTCCAGACCCGYTCTACTTTTCTCATTATTTCCCGTCTTTGTCGTCTTGTCTCTGATTTAACTTCACAACTATTTCTCGGTATCTGTATTGTTTTTTTTCCCTTGAATGCTTCACTTTTTCTCACCCCTTGTCCATCTGTGGCAGAAAGTCGCAGCTGTAATTCTTTACTCACTTATTAGCCCTCAGATGACTCTCATTACTCCACTGACATAGAGCTAATAAACGGCTGACTGTTTTATACTTGACACACACACTTACTCCWGAAAAGATTCCTGTTGATGTAATGTAACAAAATACAGGAATTAAACCTGGATTGTCAAAGTAAGTAAAGCAGGGRTGGGATTCCCTAATAACATTAAAAAGCTTACCCAGCTCCGTAGCCTGAAGGCTTTTCCTCCCCTCTCCTTTCCCCTTCATCAACTTCATCTACTATCATTATCCTTCTTCTTCGCTTTTGCCACATTTCTTGGGAAGTACCTGTTAAGAGAGGGAGGGCAAGCAGGAAAGAGTCCAGACTCACATGACAAACTGTTTATACTGCAGAGAGAGGAGGAAAGTATCATTTGGTAAAGAGTTGAAGTGTAAAAGATCAAAGATATCTATAGAAATAAATTAAGTTCAGTGTGAGATAAGAGGACATACAGTATTGTGGACACTTAAGTCTTGGTTTGAAAATATATCATTCAGTGAGAGCTTCAGATATGTAATGGGAAACGAAATGACATTATCAGCTCAGAGTAAAAGAAACTCAGCCACATCTTCAGCACACCTATTTATTATTTGTTTTATAATTTATCATCAGCTAGTGGAAGCAAACTCCTAAAAGAAAAAGTATAATAAATGGAAAACTTCTGTAAAATTAGTACATGTTAACATTTGMTAAAGTTTGCCTCTAAAAGCTTAAGATGGGAAGAAGGAACCCATTGAAATTTAAAGCTAGTTAATGGATTAACTAATAAATTAATAACTAATTAACTAAGACATGACCACAGTTAGGACTCAGTAAACAATTCAGTTTGTGAGCTACTTAGTTAGCTTGTTTGCTAACTAACTAACTAACTAACTAACTAACTAACTAACTAGCCTAGCTGTTACATAATTTTCCCCTGGGATCAAGAAAGTATTTTTGAATTGAATTGAATTAGCAACTAAGTTAGCTAGCGAGCTGTTTACTAATTGCCTGCCTAACTAATGAGCTAGCTAGCTAACATAGTTGCTAACTGAGTCCCAACAGTAATATTTTATGGATGTTTTTTTAGTTAAGTTAGATGGCTAGTTAGCTAGTTGCTAACTGTGTAAGTAACTGACTGAATTTTTAATGAATTAACTGCAGAGGCTCATAGATTATTACAGTTGGGACTCAGTTCTCTTAGTCAGTCTGTTAACATTGTAACAAAAATTATGTTGTACGCAAGTTTTTTATTCAGTTTGTGAGAGGGTCAGCAATTTGACTTCTCCACTTGAAGTTTTTTTTAACACACAAGCTGAAAAGTCAACTACTTTGAATTTTCAAACAGTTCACTGAACAGTCAGTCCCTTGGAAAACATGTAGTTGTCAGTGTTTAGTCGTGTAAAAGGACAAAACTTTCTTCATTTTGTGGAAATGCTTGACCTTTTTTTACCACGTAGAACCTGTTTCATTTAAACACAAGCCATTAATTTGATTTGATTCAAGACTCGAAGGCRTTTTGGTCATTATTTCAAAGCTTGTTAATATTCGTCCACCACTGTGCTTGGCAATGAGTGCAGTGAACTGACCCTGAGGGAGGCAGCCACTAATGGCTCTGTGATTAGAGCACTATCACCTAGTAACCCACCACTGCCGTGTCTCAGCTAAAACGCCACCATTTACCACCTTATCCTCCCCTCAGGCTGTCCTATCATAAAGGGCAAATTGGAATTTCATGTGTAAACTGGAGGTTACTTCTAGGCTGCTGTGCCGTTTAGCCTAAGTAGTTAATGTCACATTTAAAACACTTTTAATCCTTGACTCTGGATCCACACACCTCCTGGTTTCAATAAAAACAAGACAAACTCCCCCTCAGGAGTAGCTGAAAAACACTGAGTCAACTGAACTGTTCAGCTAAGCGTGAACTTCCAGAGCAGGCATTGTTATGATGTCATGTCGATCCTCTGTCTGTGTTTTTTAGCGCACCGTGAGTCATATCTCCTCATCACTGTTCAGTCTGTGTCTGTATAGTTGAATTCATTGTATCTTTTTGGAGTGTGCAGTGGAAAGTAGGGAGGTTGTGTACGTTAAGGCTTTTGGACTGAGCGGCACGAGTTCAGCTCATGGAGGTTCAGCGGGTCATGAACACCCGGAAACACCCCCCACGGCCCACGCACATGGAGACTTTAGAGGGAGAGCAGATTCCTGATAACTAGGATTATTCATCAGTTTGCTTGTTCAGTCTGGAACAAAAAATATCAGCCAAGTTATTGTTTTTAAAAATTACTGAACTAGGGATTTACTTCCAAGAAGTCTCTTGGAAGAGAGACGAAACGTTTCATTAAAGAAGAACCCGTCCAGAGGACCTATACAATTATTTTCTTTTTGATTTCACCTGTAGTTGGACCTTGTCCTCTTTATTTCCTCTGAAGAAGTCTCTTGGAGGAGAGACGAAACGTTTCATTAGAGAAGAACCCGTCCAGAGGACCTATACAATTTTTTTCCTTTTGATTTTTTACCTGGATTACTGAGATGCATCAGGACATAGGGATTTACTCAGTTTTAACACCCAGTAATATTTTCTCACTTTGGGCTGCTGGTGTTCACATAAATCCATAAATAAAAAAAATGTTATCAAGAATTATAACATTCCTTCTCCATTTGAGTGTTTTTCCTCATCCRTTGCCCTGTTTTGCCCTGCCCTGTAATGTCTGTGTGTGGTATTTTTAGCCTTTGTTACCATTTTTTCCTCTCTCTCTCTCTGGCTCTGACATTTCCTTCCGCTGACCCTTTCTTTTCTCTCTTGATTTGCAGTCAGTTCTTTATGTGGCTGTCTTTCTTGCTTTGACTAATTTCTTTTGAGCTAGTTAGACGAATGGCTGAGGGCTCCTCGATGTGATGCTGACTGGTGGAGCCGGCCACTCCTCTGCTGTTGAAGTGGAGGTCAARCGTTTCAGTTCTTGCAGAAGCTCTTATAGTGGCACTGAAAAAAGGCAGCATTCCAACAGAGCAGAGAAAATGCTTTCCCCTTGTATGGACAGAAATACTTTGTAAAAGTGATGAGGTCTGCAACAAAGTCTGCAAAGACTGATATGAGTTGTTATTATTCATTCATTCATTCATTCTGCAAATGCAAATACACTTGTGTTTAATTGAAGTTGATCCATTGCTGGTATGCCCCTGAGCCAAAAAGAGGTAGTCACAGAGCTGAGTTGGCGTGTAGGTGTGATGTGTTGGGCCATGTCACTGTCCTGTTTCAATGATGCTGGTTTTGTGAACTACAGAAAACGGCTTAAAGAGAATGTTACCTTTGAATACATTTTGTGGAAATGAAAACATTTTTTGATTTTAAATTACAGTAATGGTTTAGAGTTTAGTTTAGAGTTGGGTATAAACTTGTCAGCCTCTTTTCAGCAGTTATTAGCCAAAGTCTATAGTTTGTCTTTGGGTCTTTGGGGTCAGCCAAACATCATAGTTTAGACCAGAGGTTCCCAAACTTTTTATCTTCTGACCCACAAAATATCCATGGCAAAAACGTGTGACCCCAAATATTACTGGTCTGAGTACACGAACTTCGTTAATAACCCTAAAAACACAGGCTTTTTGACAATCTAATCAGCTTGTACACAAATATAAATACTTATTTACACTTATTTTGTGTTTTTGTAATAATTATAGGAAAACATTACATCAGCAATTTTTTATTACCCGTTAAATTGATTTCTGGAGATTATCCAAGGTGCTTCATGACCCATAATTGGGTCCCAAGCCCAACTTTGGGAAACACTGGTCTAGGACATACACTCTCATAAATCTTCTAATAGTTGTTTTGCATTCCATACGTTGATGTAATATGTTGGATCAGATCCAGCAGTGACTCAATTTGCTACTTTTGGATTCCTTATCAGCTACTAGTTTCACCTTCACAGTTGCTGTCTGAGCACTAATAATGACTTCATCTGAATAAAAGCAAACCAATAAGCAAGAATATTTTGCAGTTTGGAACAATTCGTTTAACTTTGTGGTCTATATTTGGACAAGCCAAATGCAAACTTTTTTTAAAGCAACACATTTCTTCAAATACCTTCACAAGCTTCAGATCTTTGCCTTCAGTTTGAGAGAATTTGTGGCGAAATCWTATCTCAATCACAAATATTTGCACCCAAGGTTCATAAACCACAGGTGAAGTTAGAAATGTGAATTGACAAAATAATAAAAAGCTTTGTCTTAAATATGAACATTAATTTAAACAGCAGAAAACAGAGTAATACCATCTTATGATTGATTCATCAGCTGTTTTGGTTCTTCCGGTTGCAAATAATTGCTCTATTTTTGTCTTTATTTTTTTGTTGTTGTTGAGTAAATTGTCAAGTAACCATTGTAGCAACACGTTTCTGTCTCTCACAATTTTTGCTGTTCTGTTCTTACAGGATCTGAAAAAACCCTTTGACAAAGCCTGGAAGGACTATGAAACCAAAGTGTAAGAAACTGCATTTATCCAAACTTTTACTGTTCATGTTTTGTTTTTAGGTTACAATTTTACACCACTGCCAGTTAAATATCAAAACTAGTCAACATTAAATTGAACTATTGCACGTGACTGTTTAAAATAGTGTTGTTTGTGGTATTTCAAAATGATAGACGTGTTTCTGTCTGACTTGTCTTCACTAACTGTGCTCCCCTGTCTAATCTCTCCTGTGATTGTGTCAACACATCCRTAACTATATGAATAATCCACCCTCTGTCACCTTTCTTCCTCATTGCTGAGACTCAGTTTTTACTCCATGCATGTAGAGAGCAGAAGTTTTTTTATAGCACTTTTATATGTTTCACAAGCTGCAAAGGACATTCTTTACTAAAAGGGTAATGCATCTCCTCTCCGAACCACTCCGATAGAGCCGCACAAGCTTTGTCTCCAGATTTACTCAGTTTTAATCTGGCTTTGGTTTTTGATTCCCTAATTTGTGAGCTGTTGCATCAGATTGTTTTTCCTTTGCTCCATGCAGATCATCTCATGTTGAATGCTGTTTATTCAAGAAGTGATACATCTTTCGATCTACATCCTAAATCCGACATTTCATGTTAAGTTTAAACTCAAAGTGCTGAAAGAAAAAAAGGACAAAAGTCCAGTATTTTCTCGGTGCATCACTTCCTGAACCTCAACTCCCATCATCAYTCAAATATCTGCCAGTTTGGCCTGCAGCCAAGCAGCCTGGCTAACACGAGCCTTTCCATTAGCCACAGCACTGARGATGCTGTAATGCTGTCAGGATAGAAGATTTATGTGCTGACCAAGACCAAAAGCCTACTCTCTATGAAATCAAGTTGGAGTGTTTGACTTTTAGGGGTATTTTAATGACATAAAACCAAACTCAAGAGATTATTTTTTTCTTGCAGCAAGACCGTCGCAAAAAACCCAAAACTGTTACGAAGCTAACATAATTTGTGCAGAAGGTTTAATTAAATTACTTCAGCTTGTTGGCACTGTTGACTTTGTTGTCCTAATTAATTACTTTGCAGCTTATAAACAGTTCAATACGACGATGAAGCAAAAATTGATACTTTTATTTTTACCCAAGTATTTAGACTCTTTTTGAAGACCGTCTTGAAAAAGTCCAGTCCAGAGTGACCCAGGTGTCAAAGTTTGGACCTGAAACCAGCAGAAACCTGAAGGCGGTTTCACATTTAGAAATTTTCTTCAGCATAGAGGAATTTTAAAAATTTCTATTTACAAAGAAAATCTTCAGAGGTAAAACCTTGTAAAAACTTGCAAGCTCAGCAAGTCGCTGCTGCTGAAGGCTCTAAATTCTTGTGATTTGATTTTTCCTATTTTCATAATGTTGACGTTGTGTCTTTGTCCTTGTGGTGTTGTGGTGTCACCATGATGTTATTAATGCCTTTAATATTTGTGGATGTGCAAATATTAACAGGGCGTTTCATCACCGCCAACTAATGGCTCTTTGAACTTTTTTCATTTGCTCTCAAATGTGTTTTATAAAAACATTTATTTCTTATTTTTAATAGCAAAAGCAGAAGCTTAATTTTATCAATGAGTTCAGTTAAACGGTAGAAGGTAAACAAAAATAAACATAAGCAAAGCTGAGAAAAAATATGCTGTTGGTCAAAAACAGCATATCGACAAAAAGCTGCTGCATGGAATGAACCTTTTCTTTGTATTTTTTCTGTTTTGTCTGGTAGAGATACAGYCTGTGTAAAAAAATCAGCCTTAAATTTCATTTGTCAAGCAATTTTTAGTTTGTAGAAGTATCTATTTGTTTACTTTATTTGCTTGTGGTCTTTTTAAATCCCTGTAAGCTGTTGAAATGTCTTTTTCAACATTTCAACAACAAACTAGGAGACTCTCTAAGATTATTTGGGTTTATTAGACGGTTTTAATTTCAAAAGATTCATAAAATGGACAGAATTTGTGTGCACTGACATACACCTGAAAAGACTTCTGTGAGTTAATTTTAGTTTATTAAAAACATCCAGTAATGTTTGTAATATTTTGTTAGTGTCCTAAACACAAAGTGAAGTTTTGTTTGTTTTCAGGCATCATTTATTCTTTAAWAAGGTCAAGAAAATAAAGAGGAGCTTTAGTGATTTGAACACACTGTAAACAATCATCAGCGAGTTCTTAGGGCTGATTTTTTTTTTGTTCTTTTCTTTTTGCACATTTTATCTCACCTTTTATGTGTTTTGAGATGATTTTTACGGTAACAACACGCTGACCCCTGTGGCGTTGTGATCCGACAGGACCAAGATCGAGAAGGAGAAGAAGGAGCACGCCAGGCAGCACGGGATGATTCGGACGGAAATCAGCGGGGCAGAAATCGCCGAGGAGATGGAGAAGGAAAGACGGTTCTTCCAGCTGCAGATGTGCGAGGTCAGAAAGACAAAGATGAACAGATTGATCAAAAACAGTCCGAATTTGCTTGTTAGAAGTTAAAAAGGCATATGCTGATTGCACATTTTAGATGTTTTACTTTGATAACGATGCTTTACTTAGAAAAGCAGGATTTTTCCATTTGAAGTCTTGGTATCAGCTGAAAGCGGTGGATCTGAGAGCTGCTCTCACCCCCGCCTGACCCCTCTGCTGTGATCCGTACGCTCTGTTTACAGTATCTCCTCAAAGTTAACGAGATAAAAATAAAGAAAGGCGTGGATCTTCTGCAGAACCTCATCAAGTACTTCCACGCACAGTGCAAGTAAGAGATTATTTTCCACYTGAAAAGTGTGTTTTCATTGTGTATGCCACCAGTGCACGTTATAGACCTGTTTGTGTTTTGATGATCCTGTTTTACTTCCTGTTCAGTTTCTTTCAGGATGGACTAAAAGCTGTGGATAACCTGAAGCCTTCTATAGAGAAACTGGCCACAGATCTGCACACGGTAAACATAAAGACAAACCACAGGTCAGAGTTGTTCGTGTTTAACTGACCTGTCGTCCTTTTCTTTCCTGTTAACGTCAGATCAAGCAGGTGCAGGATGAGGAGAGGAAGCAGCTGACTCAGTTAAGAGACGTCCTCAAGTCGTCTCTTCAGGTGGAGCAGAAGGAGGTAAAACACTCAGCTCTAAGAATTCATTACTGTTTAAACCTCTTCTGTATAAATTACTGTATTTATCACYTTCCCAGTCCTAACTTTTATTTCTCTGCTTAATATTTTTTTAGGACACCTAGCTTTTTATTTATTTTCTTAACAGAGAAAATATTAATTAATGTATCTAAAGTTGATTAAATTCCTGTTTTTTTTTTCTAGCATTTTGTATATAAGTTGATGTTTTTTCTAAAAAAAAATTCTTTCTCCTTCCTGCTGCCTTCATATTTAAAAAAAATAAAGCCACGAAGAGTAAGTGGAGATAATTGAATGTTTTCTTTACTTTTGTTGTTTTAGTGTTCAGTGATAGATCTTGTCATGTTGTAGTGCTTTGTTTATTTAGTTTGTTCATATTTCCTTTTTAAGACCATCYTTGTTGTCGATTTATTTTAAAGTTGTTTTTTGTCTTGTTTTCAAAAGCCCAAAGTTCTGTTTCTGCTGAAATATTGATAAAGCTGCTGTGATGTTGCCGTCGAGAATAAATATTGAAAATGAATTCATCTGTTTGGAACCACAAGTTTATGGATCCAAACTTAATTTAAATTATTGGAACAAAACGTTAAAATAAATTCCACAAAGTCAGTGATAAAACAAAACATTCAAAATGTTTTTTACAACTTCAACTAAAGCTNCATTTGATTTGGCCCACCAGCAGTTGTCCTGGTTATTAGATTGTAATTATGTTAAGATTAAATATAAAATACAAGTAACTACAAGAGACATTTAGATTAGATTTAAACCCATATCTAGATTTGCACACCTTTTATAAGATCCCATATACTCAAAATTTAAATTATGAAAAGTCCCATGAGTTTTTGCTGCCTGAACATATGTTGAATTTTCTCCATGTCCATGGGCTGAAAAAAAAACTAAAGAATGTGGGCTAGGGTTGGGCAATATCGGCAAAAAAATTAATCATGATTAATTGTGGTATTTAGCCGATAACGATTAATTTGACGATTAATCCCCTGGAGTGCCTGGACACCTTTATGTCCCAGTCACATGACCACTTTAGTGGGAAAGATTTGCTCTTCGTAAAAATCTGTTCTAAACTGTGTCAAAATTACAGACTTCAGGCTATACATCAAATTTTAAATTGTATTGATAGATAAGTAAATTACAGAACTTTTTTTTGTCATTTGAAGCGGAGAGGAGCACCGAGCAGAGTGACTGGAGAAATCTCCAGTCAGTTTGCCTGGTGGCATTAATCGTATTAATCGTCAAGTGCCAAAAAATAATCGATTGTTTTTCTGACGATTAATCGCACATGATACGATTATGCCTAACCACACTGGCTGCTAGCTTAATCATAAAAAATAAAACAGCTTTACTTAAGTATTAAGCATTTCTTATATTATTGCATTTGGCCCATGGCCCTCAGATTGATTTTAATTTTGGCCCTGTCAGGAAAAATGTTTGGGCACCCCTGATTTAAATTATTGGAACAAAACGTTAAAATAAACTCCACAAAGTCAGTGATAAAACAAAACTTACAGAATGTTTTTTACAACTTCAACTAAAGCTAATTAGTATGATTGGTTCAGATAACTTTAGGAAAAAAAGAGAAGGTGCAAACTTTAACACTAATTTAATCATTTATTCCAACATTGTTGCCAGAAAGAGAAGATTTAGTTTTTGTAGGTAACTACTCCAGGGTTATAAGACCTGGCACCTGGTTGTGGGAGGTCTAGTTGGAGTCTGGAAACATCCAAAGGCTGCGTTCACACTGCAGACAAATGTGACCCATATTGGATTTTTTTTCATAACAGCCTGAATGTGACTTATCAGATTTTTTATTTTACTTATTTTTTTAATCCTACCCAGGCCTTTTCAGTATGCGGTACTAAATCACATACATATCTGATGTTTTTCACTGTGAACTCAGTCTGAACTCTCGTGTCTCATTTAATCTGACCTTTCTGTCAGTGAGGTGTGGGTGAGCAGATCGATCCAWGTAATAATGACACTAACCTCGAGTCTTGCTGTTTAAATCTTTTAGCACCACGACTTCAGCTGCCGAAGTCCAGTTGTTTTGATCTTTATTTTAATGTTTCATGTCCTGGATGACTGAGAGTCCACAGAAATGTCTGCCTCTGATCGTATCGATACTTTACAACCAGCACATCGCTCACTTTCCAAAAATAAAATCCTGCACTGAAGCATCTGACCTGAGGCAGGTTCAAACGTAAACGGTGAACTAAACAAGCATGTCGGATAATTATTTATTCGGCTCTGGTTGCACAACAGCTTCCGATTTGACGTGCTAACYTGTAGCATCCYTGTTTAGCTACTTCTGTAAACAACAAGCTGAATGTGACGTCATCTTCTGTGCATGAGAGTCACATCAGTGCTGTGGAGAGTTCACACTGGAGTCTGATGGAGGTCACATTCAAAATAAAAAAATCTGACTTTTATTTTAAAACAAATTTAAATCTGAGTTGAGCATTAAGACCTGCKGTGTGAACGTAGCCATCAGACCYGTTGCGCAGTATTTGGCTTTAACATTAGCTTTGCAATTTGGAAACCATGACCTGACAAAAACCAGAGAGGTTGTTACAAAATATAACAGCAAAGAAGTGTTTGTTGAAAGAAAGGATCATCCCTCCAGCTGTTAAACAGYTGTATCAGCCATGTTTCAGCCACATGTTGCAGCTCGAGGCATGGGAAATATTTTACCGTCACAGGAAGGAACAGATTCAAACACTCGTACATTCCAGAGGCCGACGTTGCGCTGTCTGTCCAACAGCTGAATAAGAAAGGATGTAAAACATAAATGTGTTAAATGAACTGTGCAAAAATCCAACTGGATTAAAAACGTTTTGATAAAAGAAAAGAAAGACWGCTCTTCAAACAACTGTGAGCTTCAGCTTGGAGTTCATTTCATTTTGTTTGAAAAGGTTTATAACATGAAAAATAAAATACCTTTTTTTCTTACAAAAATACATTTTAAAAACCTTCATTTATAACTTCCTATAAATTAGAATCGAGTTCAGGTTTTAAGTCTATGATCATGAATGTATCTTCCTCATTTGTAGACATATTTCATAGATACAAGCAGATCAGGTTTTTTAATGCTTCCTCTTGACTGCATGATTGTTTACAAATCCTGCATGCAGCTGCTGCTTTTTGAGCTCTTTGTCCTCCACCATTCTAAATTAGTTATTCCTGGGGTGTTTTTGGTTTTGTTTTGTTTTTTTRCCCAGGATCCCCAGGTGCGGCAGAGCACAACATACAGTCTGCATCAGCCGCAGGGTAACAAAGAGCATGGCACTGAGCGAAGCGGGTTCCTGTTRAAGAAAAGTGACGGGTGAGTTTGTGGGATGCAGCTGCACACGACCTGTTACTAATGAACTGAAAGCTACTTCATTCACGAATTGTTCATACCTTAAGTTACTTTGTTGTAAATGTGAATTTTCAGTTTTTATCCTGTCTGATTGTGTGGCAGGCTGAGAAAAGTGTGGCAGAAGAGAAAATGCACAGCAAAGAACGGATACCTGACCATTTCACACGGCACAGTAAGCTGTCTGCACTCTGTTAAAGTTAACCCTCCTGTCCATATTTAGATTTAACCAGGCGTCAYATGTTTTTATACCATTAAACACAACATTTTACTCACATGTAGTGTTTGTTTGTTTGTTTGTTTTTTAATCATGCGTTTCTTTTCTTACATTTATCTCTGTCAGGCAAACCGGCCGCCGGCTAAACTCAACCTGCTAACCTGCCAAGTGAAACACAATCCTGAGGAGAAGCGGAGCTTTGACCTCATATCTCGTAGGTTCAGTTTGTCTAAACGCAGTGTGAACTTTTTAGAGAAATTGTTGTTTATGAACTCATTTTGTTAAGTGACATTTTGCATGACTTTAAAGGGGACCTAATATGCAAAATTCCCTTTATTCAGGTTTTTTATTTTTTTTACTTACATTTGGGTCTGTACTGCTTCTAAAAACAGTTCAAGCACCAAAAGAATGCACTCAGAGGTATTTTTACTATAAGTAAATGTATTTTTCTGTGTCTTGAAATGAACTGTTTTCAAACACCACCGTTTGTGACATCACAAGCCCAGCCTCTCTCCTGGTAACCCAAGCAGAGACTCCGCCCACTTCTTCACAGGACGGTCCTGCTGTTTTCAGAACAGTCGTGGAGAGCAGAGATGTGTGGCTTAATTTTATTTTTATTTAATTTAATTTTTGTTTTTGATGGCAGTATTCTAGCAATATTAAAGAATGTTCTAGTTTTGTAAATAATTTCACCATGAACTACTTTGCACACTTCAGGAGGGCGGAGTTAACGTAAACAAAAGGTTGGGAGGGGGTTTCCATAATAACTCGTGCACAACAGCACGTTCTGAAGAGAGCTCAGAACAGGCAGAACTGAAAAGATGAAATTTCATTAGAGATTAATTTTGTGAATTAAATCAAATGAACATGTTTTGTAGAGCCCACAGATGGATCCTAACTTGTTAATGGACCCCCATATTAGGTCACCTTTAAAAAAAAGTAAAATATGTTTTTACATTTTTTAAACGGTTAACATGTATTTACGATAAAATAGAAATTATTTTAAAGGTTTAAATCAAAGTCAGTTGAAAAACGTCAGATTGAATGAAACAGTGGCAGAAAAGGAAATGACGTGCCTTTTTTTTTTCTGTTCTAGATGATCGAACGTATCACTTTCAGGCCGAAGATGACCAAGACTGTCAGATGTATGTGTCTGTTCCTTCCTTTTCACTGCTTCAGTGCATCCTGCAGCCCACCTCAACAACTCTCTGAACACTTCCTGCCTCACATATTATCGACCCTTTCCTCCAAATCTCTCCCTCCACAGCCCCCTTTCCCCATCAGCCACAGAGTCGTGTCTGGTTTTAATTGTTTGACTTTTCCTCCGCCCTCCCAGCTGGATCTCAGTGCTACAGAACAGCAAGGAGGAGGCGTTAAACCAAGCGTTTAAAGGGGACCATCGTGTCGGGGAGAACAACATTGTGCAGGAGCTGACCAAAGCCATCCTGGGGGAAGTCAAGAGGATGACAGGAAACGACGTGTGCTGCGACTGCGGAGCCCCCAGTGAGTGGCAAAACATGACCTCACAAAATGGTTTAAGCTTCACAGTTAAGAAAAACTATTAACTCTGGGTTATTACATTTAAACAGTGGYGAAAGGTGGAAGGTGTTGGTTCAGCCTGATCAAACAGCTTTGTCTTCATGAAGGCTGCAGAGTTGAACAGTTTTATAACCTGCAAGTTCTCTGAGTTGTTGGCTACACCTTGTGTCTAAAGTCATAAATATTAAAAATACATGAACCACACCGTAATGCTTTTGTTGTGAGTTAAAAACTGACATTTTCAGATTTCCTGTTTATTTGTTTTATTTTCTGTAATATCTGCTTTGGTTTCCAATAAGAAATCCCTGAACTGGACTTCGTGGCATAAATGTTCCCTTACTGAAGATGTGCTGACACATCATTATTATAGGAGTGAATTGAAAGAGCTGCTGTGCACATTTTACACATGATCGCATAGCAGTATTAATAATTCAGATCTCCTGACTCAAGGGCATCATCTCTTGATTTTTCACAAATTTGTGGCAGAAAAATCTCCTAAATCCTAGAGTGACGTTCTCCAGGGATTCTCCTCCTGTTAGGGTTTTTGATTTAAGGTGGTGTTTTTAATAACTCTGCTAAGTAAATAAATGGTTTTGCTGCCTGAAAGTGATGTCCYGTTGTTATTGGTTTAATCCTCTTTTTATTTCTGTCAGACCCAACGTGGCTGTCCACCAACCTGGGCATCCTCACCTGTATTGAATGTTCAGGAATCCACAGGGAGCTGGGGGTCCACCACTCCAGGATCCAGTCCCTCACTCTGGATGTACTCAGCACCTCAGAGCTCTTGGTAATTCACATTTAAAAACACATTTCATCATTGTGTTTTTTTTMCTACATAGATGATCTTGTTGGATAAGCTTAAAAAGAAAGCAGGTAAAATAATGGAAGCAGGAGTTGGAACGAGTCTGGAGCTGAGATGTCGGAGCAAACTTGGCTTCACATTTCTTCTCCACTCTTAGAATAGCTGAGATTTTGTTAGGCTTTTTTTTTTAATCACAGTTTGGTGCAGAGATTTACAGCCTGTGGGACATTTGGGATTAAATGCTCACAGTGGTGATTGCTTCTCTTGGTGTAAAGACGCCACTCGTGTTGGCCGCAGTCCGACGGGGCCGTCTCCACACTCACAGCTCCAGGATGTGGATGTGCTAGCTGGTGACTCTTGAATTTATCGGTGTGACACAGGAAAATGGCTCATAACCAGCGTTGAGTGTATTTATCTGTGCGTTTGCTCTGCAGCTGGCCAAGAATGTGGGGAACGCAGGCTTTAATGAAATCATGGAGGCCAGTTTAATTGCTGAAAACGTGGTGAAACCCAATCCAGCGAGTGACATGTAAGCCTCATCTTCTGTCTACCATTTGAGCRAAATTTACGTTTTGGATTTTAGAACTTATTTGGGAGGTGAAAAGATTGTAWATATAATTTTTTAAAGCTCTAATTCGACCGACCTTCTGTGTCCTTGTGTTGCTCACCAGGCAGACGAGGAAAGACTTCATCACAGCCAAGTACATCGACAAACGTTTCGCCAAGAAGAAGTATCCCGACGCCATGTCGCGGCTCCACACGCTGTGCGAGGCAGTGAAGGCTCGAGACATCTTCCTACTCATCCAGGTCTACGCTGAGGGTGTCGACCTCATGGAGCCCATTCCGCTCGCCAACGYACATGTAAGAGCACAGCAGGATTTATTAAAATAAACAAAAAAAAAAACAGTTTGAGCTTTCGCGTCACGTCGCCTCACAGAGAGCTGATGTATTTCAGGAACAAGGAGAGACGGCCCTTCACCTCGCGGTCAGGCTGGTGGACAGAACGTCTCTTCACATCGTTGACTTCCTCACTCAGAACAGGTAAACAAGAAAATACAATTTGTATCAAACCCAGTAAGGAGCAGGATTTGAGTCTTCRCGGTTCGGATTCGTAGCTTCCTCTTTTCCCCGTCCGTGTTTAGTTTGAATTTGGATAAGCAGACTGCTAAAGGCAGCACGGCGCTGCACTACTGCTGCCTGACGGATAACAGTGAGTGTCTGAAGCTGCTGCTGCGAGGGAAAGCCTCCATAGACATCGGTAAGAAAACACCCAAACAGCCACTGTGCGTCCACTGACCTCACCTTTCATGTTTCTTTATTCTCACCTGTGTCAGAAAATTTACATTTCTGCTACTCCATGCTTCATTTGTTTCATATTCAGAGGAAAAGGGTTTTTGAACTTTAATCTGAAACTTTTACTTTTATTTTGAAAGTTTTCTTGTGTTTATTTGTGCCTATTTCATCTTTTAAGATATAATGACGCCATCATTTCCACAGTAACGTCTCAGGCTCTTTTCTCTGAGCTCTCTTCGCTCTCAGACTTGCTTCTCTTGAAAACAAACATTGTTATTTTTATTTTTCCTCCTCACAACACTCACGTTTGTGCTCCAGTCTGWAAGAAACTAAAACAGCCAGATAACRGATTCACAGAAAAGGAGAGGAGCTGTTGTGGGAAATGGTTTAATTACACATTTGCTCATGTCACTGTGGAAAAAAAGAGAAAATGTATGTCTGTGTGTTTATCCTCATGTGGTGTGTGAATGAAGCAGTGATTATACGTTTCTGTTGTTTTTCTTTTGAAGCTAATGAGGCCGGAGAGACGCCGCTGGATATCGCTCGGAGGCTTAGACACGTACAGTGTGAGGAGCTGGTGAGCCCGAGGAGCTTCAGACTCACCCAGAGCGTCGCTTTATCCTTCCAACGTCAGCCGTCGGTCATTTCGTTTGTTTGTGTTTACAGCTGAACCAAGCGCTGGCAGGAAAATTCAACGCGCACGTCCACATCGAGTACGAATGGCGCCTGCAGCACGAAGACCTGGACGAGAGCGACGAGGATCTGGATGAGAAGGTGAAGCTTTGAATCCAYAAGAAGCAAAGTAAATATAAAAATAAATAATCTTTTATATGTTGAAACATAAAACAAAATGAAGAGRATCTGTTGTATTAAAAATGTCTTAATTTAAGAGGAATAGACTAAACTTGGTACGTATGRTTACGTTTGGCTACTGCTCAAAATGAATGGAAATAAACTTCCACCAAAGTGAAAACCACTATTTTAACTGTTGTCTACAATTTGYACAGAAATAAGAGCTATTAAATTACAAATATTTTTATTTTATTTTTTATTTATYATTTGAGAAATCCTTGAATCACCTGTGGTCGCCATGTGGAGCTGCRTGAATGTCTCCGCGTACAAAGCGCCGCCTATTTATACATGACTCCTCCCCAGAGCTCAGTCTGCAGCCGAGCTCCCACTCCACACCCCTCCCCCACACAGCTCCACCAGGCCTAGTGGCAGGAGAAATATTTCTTTCCAAATCACTATGATTTCATTGGAAATCATAACTTCATAATGATCTATGTTTATAGTTTTTTTCCCATAATGTAGCTTAACTTTGACATGTATGAGGATGACTGGGAGAAGCTGAAACGTTCTGTTAGAGCCTCTGTACTCGCTCCAGTTCTTCAGAAAAGGACATTTCCGGGTCTGACATGAGTTGCCGTTTTTCAAAACCCATATTATGTAATGTTTCTTTTTCACAACAAAATGCAACCCTTCTACTAAAGGTTGTAAARGGCATGAAGCATTGTGAAGACTCGCTGAAGCGGGAGTGTTAGAAACGGTAGGATACAGAGGCTAATTTCAAGGCTTTTAGATAGACTATGATGTGAAGTCAAATMAATTTATTTTTTGTAACAACTGAAGGTAACATAGTTACTTGATTGTGGTAAAGAATTGAACTATGTGCCTGTAAAATACCCCCCTCCCCTTTAGGCAGAAGCCTGGTCTACTTTGGTAAACACAAAGTAAAAAACTTCACATTGTTGCACATTTCTAACATTTATTTTGAACTTCCACCCCGCCCTTCCAGCCAAGCCCCCACCGGAGAGACGATCGCCCGGTCAGCTGTTACACCCCCGGCAGTAACTCCCACCCGCAGTCGGGCCGGGACGCCGCCGGCCTCAGCAAGGACAAGCACCGCCTGTGCATGCCCAGCCTGGTGAACAACGAGACGTACGGCACCGTCCTGAACAGCGGCTCCCCTCAGCCGACGACCACCTCTGCTCCCCCGCTGCCCCCGAGGAACCTGGGTAAGACTGTTTGTTGTAGTCCAGATCACCTGCCTGACCTGCAGCTGTGCTGAAGATCRGTTTATAACATGTGGGCTTTTTTTAATTCACCACTGACGCCACCGTGCAGACAGATGTGATGCTTATAAACAATAAGATGTGCAGCCAATCACAGCCAACCAGTGTGTGAATACATCAACACAATCAGTCCTGTTGTTTCACCTGTCCTAGCCCAGTTACCGGGACTGGGAGGGATCAGTCAGTCCTCCACCAGCAACTGGAAACCAACAAGTTTGGARCTGAGTGGCCGACAGCGGTCCTCCTCCGATCCTCCCAACATGCACCCCCCCGTGCCCCCCATGAGGCTCACATCAACTGGAGGTAAGGAGACCAGTTTAGTTCAGATCAGGGGTGTCCAGTCCTGGTCCTGACTCYTATTGATATGTGTTCCAGCTTTGGGTTCTGCTTCTGTAGCAAAGATGGACGCCATGAACATTCAGTCCAAACCTGGTCAGGGTTTGTTGGGGACCAGGTCAGCACCGCCTAAATCTCCTCCTGGGTAAGACCACCTGTAACTAAACACAACTTCAGCTCTTTTTATCCAGAGGTATCTTCAGTGCTAAATAACAGCTTTCTTCTCTTTGTTTGCTACATCTTTAAACATTAGTCTCTAAAATAACTCAGTTTGTTTCAAACTTGTTCGTGTGTCCGAACTAAGAACTATAAAATATTCATATAACATCGTTATAGTTTATATATAACAGCTGTAGCTGCTTCATTAGCTCCCAGGCTGAGCTCTGTGCCTAACACCACCTCCATCATCCTTAAATTTATTWTTTTTTTATTTTCACACGTCTTAATTATTCTTTTCTTTACATTATTTTTCAGCAATGATAAAAGCTTCAGCCGGGCCTTCCTGAGTCAAACAGAACCTGTAGAAAGAGAAGGTGAGTGAATGGATGAGAGCAAACATTTTAGCTGCTCCAGGGAAAAAAAAGTCATCCACTAGTCGCTTATTTTTTCCCACTCAGGAAGTGTGGAAAGTTTTGTTGCTGTTTGTGATGTAGTTTCCTGTTTCCTGTTCCAGCTAAGGAAGTACCAGGATGTCCCCAGAACTCCACGGGTCACTCTCTGCCTCCGGCCCCCGTTCCCAGAAAGGCCTTCCCAGTGAGCATCATCTCCTCCTTCTTTCAGTCCAAACTGAACTGAAAATACTCGTTTAATTTACACGTCAYCTTTATAGTTTTCTTTCTGTGTGCATYTTTYCGTGTGTTTTCTTTGTCTACTTGTTCTGTGAACTTCCTTCCTGTCTGCTTTGGGCTCTTCTCTCACGTTAAAGCATCAGTTTAGTTCTGTTTCTTGATGGAACAAACAGCTGTAACTTTAAAGTTTAAAAACGTTGTCGTTTTGTGATGTATAGCTTTATCATCACTTCAATTCAAAATATAGTTTAATATTACCATTGGGAGATGAAATACATGGAAAAACAAATGACCCCAACATGGATATTTGAGGAAATCTGTGCGCTGCAGAGGAAAGGAATTCCCAAATGAAGTGATGAAATCCATCAGATAAATATGAAGTGAACAGRTGAAGGATGGTACTCTGAATCCCAGCCTGATCAGTGATCTCAGAGGAGATTTAAAACTAAACTGTCAATCACACACATTTAATACTGTCTGAAAACAGACTCTAAATAAATCTTTCAGTAAAAACAGTAATGTTTACTTTAAGTTTAAAACAGACATCTGGATGAAAACTTGAGTAAAAAAAATAGAGGGGTAATACAAAATTTGATTCTAGCTTTTAGAAAGAGTTGCTCAAAACATGGAGACTAATTTCAATTTKCACCCTGGAAATAAAAAAGGAAAGAAAAAATCCTCAAAAACTAAAACATTATTGTGAGAAAATGAGTTTTCACTTTCCTTCAGTGGGTTTAAAGTGCCTGTGACATGCATATTCTTCAAATACAAAAAGTCAAAGAAAACATCTTTATATTTAAGAAACCTGACATAATACACGCAATTTTGCCCATTTTGTAACATAACTGGCATATTTCCTTTTGAACTTGGCTCAGCAAAAGTGAAACAGGAAGTGACATCAGAGGGGAAATATTAAAGAAAAGGAACTCTCTGGTCTTTGTTTATTGAAATAATATTATCTAAACTCTAACTCCTCTTCATCTGTACCTGATAGTGACTCAAAATAATTTAAAGAAACATCAAATTCTTCTCTACAGTCTGTGTTGTTAGACATTTTAACAACGCTCMGTTCACATGCAGACGTTCCCCTTTGACGTCACTTCCTGTTATTTTACATGCAAATATCTCAACAACAGTTCATCCCAGCGGTGTGAAAATTGTTTTCTAGTATGCTATTAACGTRGTCTTTACTGACTTCTGGACCAACATTTACCTACCTGCTGTATTCCCTTGTCGTTTCAGAAGCAGAGACCGAAGCGAGTTAAAGCCATCTACAACTGCATCGCCGACAACCCCGACGAGCTGACGTTTTCTGAGGGCGAGGTGATCGTGGTGGACGGAGAGGAGGACCAGGAGTGGTGGGTTAGTATCGCTGAGTTCACGGTGAAACGAGGGGGAGGACTGTTCTCCTTTTTATTCCCCCGCCTGCCGGTTCTTCCCCTGTGGACCCTGGTGTACAAAGCAGCTGTAGCTTGTTTTTCCTCTGAGCCACCCCTGCAGGTTTGACCGTATTTAGTCAGCCTCTGTGTGTCCCCCTGAGATCCCAGCCGCACCATTATCGCTCTTTTAGTTTTTTCTGTTTCTGAGAAAACAAAGCGGTGATGGTGCCTCTGTGACAGAAAGCAGGCCTGTGCACGAGAGCTGCAGCTTCAGCTGGATTTCTGCTGCTGKAGTCGGTGTTGTGAACGTGATTTTTTTTTTTAGTTCCAGTGGCTCATGATGTTTGGTTGTACCTCTGTTTAAATGTCARCGAAGCAGAAACATGTCCCAGCTTTTCATTTTCAGGTGTAGACGACAGTTAAAATGACTTAACCAATCAGAAAACTCAAGGTAACATGAAAACAAGATCTTTATTGAATATAATAGACGTCTGTCGTGGTGTAGCCTCGTGTTGATGTCGTTGCACCGTTAGATGTGGTTGGGATGGATGTTTCTCTCAGTTTGATTCAATCCTGTTTCAGAAAATCTAGATTATTTTTAGTCACTTTTGATGTGATGGTGTGTGAGAAAATTCACTTGGCAGTTTCATCTGCAGTGGCTTAAAAAACGGCAGAACAAGGAAAACACCTTATTATAAAAGCAAAATGACATCGGCTGGACTTTTTAAAATTTAACCAACATTTCAGATGTTAAATTAGATTTTAGGTCTCTGAGCTTGATGAGACATTTTCAAAATATAATGATTCATTTTTATGTGTTTTTTAGTATTGCCTCTGGAAGCCATTGATTCTTTGCCATTTATTTGTAAATAATAAAACAAATAACAAGTAAGCAGTGATTCTCAGCCGTGATCCTCAAGGACTCCTTTCCTGCATGTTTAGATGTTTCCCTGATTTGACACACCTGGTTTGAGTGAATGAGTGATTAACAATCTGCTGAAGACCTGCTGAATAGCAGGGAAACAAGTAAAACATGCTGGATAGGAATACTTGAGGACTAGGATTGGGAACCACTGTTTTACATTTATCTTGGTTTATATTGATTATTGCATTCTGTTCCTTTTTTAGGGAAATAATCCTAAATTTATATGCTGTAATATTTACTAAAGTAGTTGACTGATTTTTCTTTTCTTTAAACTTTTGGGGAAAACCCATCTCTATCATAGTTCCTTATGGAAATAAAGTCAAAATTTGTGCATATTTAAATTCTATACCATAATAAAGTCACTGTGTCACCTTCAGTTGTTCTGAAAAAGTTTATGTTTAAATAGAAAATAAACTTGACTTCTCATCATATTTGTTTCTAAACGCTTTGAAATTGGCCTCTGTCTCTTTAAGAACTTCCTTCCACTTCTGTCCCGCCCATTTCAGCACAGGGCTGTGTGTGTGTGTGTGTGTGTGTGTGTGTGTGTGTGTGTGTGTGTGTGTGTGTGTGTGTGTGCTCTATGATGAGGAAGCTCAGCTTGGAGACACAGAGGAGGAGCTGATCCCAAAAGGAGGTTCTAGTCCCAACCAGTCGTTTTTGCTCCCCTGCCTGCTGCCTCAGGACACTACAGGATTTCTTAAACATGCATGAATGAGTCAAAGCGAGACTRTGGGCATGTTTTTGATGAGAGGATAACATTATAACATGATATAAAGCTCAAAAAAGTTGATTTTACATGATATTGCTCCTTTTAATGTTTTTTTTTCCCATTGGAACAATTCAAAAACTATTTCTAAGAATCAGTATTGGATCATCTGGGTGAAAACAGCAGTTTGTTAAATAGTTATTCATATAATCTTGTGTTTAGTTGTAAACTAGTTCTAAATGTTGTGATGACACTGTTTCTTTACCCTGTTTAACCTCCCCTCCTCTTCACAGCTGGGCCACATCGAAGGCGAGCCGATGAGGAGAGGAGCGTTCCCCGTCACGTTTGTTCACTTCATCGCCGACTAAAAAACCAAGAAGTATCGTCCATCTCTGTGTCATCTGTTGGCCGGATGTATTCCTCTTGATTGTTTTTTTCCATCATCTTCACGGCGGCACCGGTGTGGAACGTTGCGTTACGGCAACGACTGCAGCGAGGCTGACTGTTGCAGAGGGGACTTTTTTTATGGACTCTAAAAAAATGATTGTAGTCAGTGATCTTTGGCAATAAATGCACTTTTCTTGTCTTAACCCATCAGAATGAAGGTCACATGTTCAGTATTCATCTCCCTGTTCTCGAGCTGCAGAGTGTAAACCTCCTAATCTGGGATTACAGCGATGTATTTTAACTTACTAACACCTCTAAATGTGAACCGAGTCAACGTGCTTACATTCCACACCTGTGCGTGAGTGATTTTTATTTAAATGTCTGCTGTAGAGACGTAGCCTTCCTGCATGGAGGATTTTCTAACGGTGCTAAAGTTAACCCCAGATTAACTAACGTGCACGACGGAGACTGGAGTTTAAAAAAAAAAGGAGCTGCTCCGCCTCCATCACAGCTGGAGAACCACTCTTCTTGGTTTTCATCCTGCCTGCGTTGGTTCTGATCATTCAGCAGCACTGAGCCGAMCCAGTTTTTCTGCCTTACTGAAGGAGCGTGTCGTTTTCACACGACCACCTGCCGTTTAATTTAACATAACTAATAAAACTCTGACAGGCTGTTTCTGTAAAGCTGACGCAGCAGCTGAACGTTCTGTTTGTGACGTAGACAGATGCTTTTAATATAAATATAAAACAATTCATTTTAGTTGCAGAGCAACATCCTTAGTGTTCATAATGTTAATATTTAGACATTTAAGCTGAAACTAGGAGCCTTTCATAGATTTGTGAATGACGAGAAGCAGGGCGGCGCTCTCTCCTCATATGAACTCACTGGAAACTGATTTAATCATCTATTTATGTAAATCAATTTAGCGAACGTTTGTGAGTATTTAAATGGAAGCTGAGCAGTAGTAAAATGTCTTATCTGCACTGTGTCGGTGACCTCAGCTGGACCTGTGAGTGCTGGAAACGCAGACAATCTTCTGCACGGAACTTGGACTCAAACTGGACTCATTAAACGCCTGCGGAGCATCGCCACAACTTAACTRGTGCAAGTGAAACTGGAAGAATAAAATGTGAAATAATGCGTGACTGGTGTGTTTATTTAGAGCTGTTAGGAGTCTGATGAAAAGTACTGTAGCATTTCTGAAACTGATGTGTCAAGAGCTCCCCCTACTGGTGAATGTTTCAAAGTGCGTATGACATTCAGGGAAAAAAAGTCCCATTCCATGAGTCCATGAGAAACAAAACTCCTCCTGAATCATTATTCATTAGGACACAAGTTTAAAAATGAAAGGCAAGTTAAACTGATAAACATTGAATTAAAGGATCTGAAGTAGAGAAAACAATATGAATGCAGTCCTTTATTACATTTAAGGCAGACAAACTTGAGACACAAAACTCCTGTGTTGTACCAAATCCAACTACTTTTCAAGTTTTCACATATTTTCTACACGACTGAAGAAAAGTCAAGTAAAGGCTGTAAACAATGTCCCACCCTAAGTTACTTTCATATGAAAATAAATCCTACAGATCTTCAGAATAAAATATACATTTGGTACCAAGAAAATCACTGATTGAATTAAAAAAATATTATAAATTAGGACAAATAAAAGGCGTTTGTAACATTCCTTCCAGTCAGAAGTGACTGTTTTTGTACCAATACTGTCATCAAATCACAGAAATCATTCTGAAAAGTAACTTCATGAGTTAATCTCAGTACCGTGTTGTTTGGTACCGCAGTTTTTAAATGGAGACGCTGAAAGTAATTTTTAAACTAAAAACTGATCTCTGTTGCTACAACTGAACTTTTTTTCCTCACTTTATCTTGAAAATGAACAACAAGCAGTTGGGATAAAAAGGGTTTTGGAAAAACAAATGGGCTTCATCTCAACTGGAGGATGATGGGAGAGGAGGACACAGGTTACATCAAACAGCCACAACATTAAAAACACTGACGRCGAGGACGAAAACGACACAAACTGAAATGTTGTGCTGGGAGACCTTGGGATAAGCAGCCATCAGATCCACCTGAATTCACAGCAAACATTAAAACTCGTAAAACCTCCTGGATACACTCAAATGTTTTTGTTTTTAATTCCCTGATCTAATCTACAAAATGTTCAACAGTGAAGCCTGATCCTCATCACCTCCAGTAAAGACTCATAAAACGATATGAAGACTTGCAATCAGAAGGCAGTGGCCATGATGGGTTTTCTTCTTCATTTCTTCTTCCTTTTTTTTTCACCTCATCTGTTAGTCCGGCTTCAGGACTTGTCTGATGACAGAGCGCAGTCAAAAGAAGTGGACAGCACCTTGCAGATGGACTGAGCCTGCTCCTGTTCAGACACACAACAGGAGGACACTGTGACTACACGACCCCGGACAGGTGCTCTACGGATGCTCATCTTTAATTTAACTCGTTACTCACTGAGCTGCTGCACTGATACACCCAGATGCTGCACTCCTCTTGTTTCGTGTCCGTGGTTTTCAGAGCCAACAGGTTCTTCCCCGCGCCCAGGCCGTCGTCGTAGCACAGCATACGCACAATCAAATACAGAGGGTGTCGATGCAGCACGTCCTTTTCCAGAGGACACGGAGAAAAATGGCAACATATACATGTATATATATAAATATAAAATGTTTTCTCTCCGAGTCACGGGGGTTATTTTTTGTTTTGTTTCTTTTTGCTACTCACACACTGATCCACTGAGGCAACTTTGATGCCATACTTCGACACTCCCAGAACCATCTCCTCATCTCCAGGAACAAAGGGCAGTTCTCCGTCTTGCTGTGACAGGAAGTTGACTGTTTAGTCTCCCTTTCTAGGTCATAAATTTATTGTGACGCGCACTGATAAAAATGAGTCAGAACGAGCATTTTTGTCATAATCTAAAAAAATTAAAACATGAAGTGGTGGCACAGAGGTAGAAAAGGTGAAACTGTGATTGGAAGGTTGCCAGTTCAACTCCCTTTTGTCCTATCAACACAAGAATGTGGGTGGGAAACCCTCATCTGAACCCCCCAGCAGCCCTAATAACTAAGACCAGTGAACAAAAACAGATGTCAGCATCTTACCTGAGCAGCATCGATGTAGTTGATGAGGTCTAGAGGTTCCTGCAGGGTCTTGCTCATCGCAAATTCCAAGTTCTCGATGGATCCAACATACTTTACCCGAAACTCAGCGCACGTCTCAGACGCACTGTTTCCTGCTTGGAATCACACATTCTGTTAGAGAAGACAAAAATGGCACGAAAACGTTAAATGTTTGGTGGAATTCAACGTCATTTATTCAGACCTGAGCTCTTGTTGGAGTCTGAGTCGAGGCTGGCGACGGTGCTGGATCTGGAGAGTCCTCCTAAACTGGAATCAACAGACTGAACAACAACAAACAGATTAGGATGAGTAGGAAAAAAAAGTTCTCGTTGTGATGTTGTGTGTTTTTGTACCTTGCTCTTGGTGCTGATCTCGCTGCTCTGCGAGCTGCTGCTGCTGTGGCGCTTCTTGACTTTCCGGAACATCCTTCACCATGACGACTGCATCCAGACCCCCCCTCTAGGCCCACCAACCTGGAAAATCCCAAACCCGCAAGTGTTGAAACACTCAGCAGCAGCCTTCTGGAATCTTAACCGAGGCAATTAATAATTAATTATAGAACTACATTTTGAATAATAGATGTGTTCCTGCCACAACGGCACAGAAATTCAACAAGTATTAATTTAAATTAACTTATTAGAAAAATTCAAGATTTAATTTGAAAACAAAATAAGCACAGGATCATTAATCTATCTGAAATACCAAAAAATATTACTAAAAAATGTCACTGAATATGATTAGAATAAAGCAGATACTGGTTATTTTATCTGGAAACAGGCATAAAATGATTATTTAAGAGTTGTTTTATTGATTKTTTTAAAAAGAGTAAAATATTTGATTTTTGTTGAAATGGTGCAAATTATATTATTTTACCTGTTGACTATTGCCATGTTTTATGTTCAATGGCTAAAAGTATTAAAAAGAAAAACTTGAAGAAGCTAAAATATAAATATATACACACACACAGAGAGAGAGAGAGAGAGAGAGAGAGAGAGAGAGAGAGAGAGAGAGAGAGAG